GGCAAGAAATGTATACGACTCTTAATGGACCGAAACATTTCTTACCTATAACAAATATTTTTTTATACCCCTTACCTATCTTAATATCCTTTTCTTCTTTTCACTGTTTTTTTTTTCCTTATATTCTCCTTTTAACCTTTGATACCGAGGACGACATTTGCTGGCGTTGTTCGCTTCTCATACACAGGAAAATTCTGGTGTTAGACCTAAGAAAACGCGCATGCTTCTCAAGAACCGCATCCGTAACTCACAGACAAAATACACGAACCGATCGGCTGGAACTTTGGCTTCCAAACTATTGTTAACTGTTAACAACGACCGGGTGACCACACAGCAAACAATGGGTCTATCATGTGTGCTGCAGTTGAAAGTTAACACAGCTTTTCCTCTCTGAAGCTGTTCTCATCTTAATCATACGAACACACACACATACATACATACACACACATACATACACACACACGTACACACGCACATACACATACGTACATACATGCACACAGACGTACATACGTGCACACGCATATACACAGCACACGCACACATACATACATACACATACATAGATACAACGCTCCATCAACCAGCACCTTTGCATTTGCATAAATGTGTAAAAACGCACAAAAAACCCCAAAAATCCAAACTACAATGAGGATCAAAGAGCAAATCTTGTTAGACAAAAATCTCGTGACGCCTAAAGAGATAACGCATCACGCGGGATGCACACAGACAACAACAGACGCGACGAAAAAGAATGGGGAATGGGCAACTACTAAACCTCGGCTCGTCCGCCATTGAGAGAGGCTTTCGTTTCTCTGCTAATGCTATTTTCGGGCGACGCTTAGTGGGTGCTCAGATATTTCTTTGGAGGCAGGACTTGAGGACAGGATACAGGAGAGGAACAAGGGTGCTAGTCAAGAGCTTGAGGCAAGGAATGGTGACAATGGTTGAAATTGGCGGCTGATGGGTGCCCGGGTGCGGTTCCGCAGGCGGGATTTGAGGACAAGGTGGAGGAGAGGAACAAGGGTACTAGTCAAAAGTTCGAGGCAAGAACTGGAGATAGCAGTAAAGAGAAAAAGAAGCCAATACAGCATTACAAAAAAAGTAAACTAAAGAAAACCTAAACTTATGAGAAAAAAAAAAGAAAAAAAGAGAGCAATCAAAGAATTGGAACCTACGAATAAAAGCAGAAAAAGAGCGAAAGCAAACAAAAACTAAGCTTATGCGAATGGAAATTGTCTCACAAAAAGTCGTCTTCAGTAAGGGGTTCCCCTGTTTATGAAGCTGATGCTTGGCTGAAGCTGAGAGCGAATAGGTCTGATTGAATTTACATAAAAATTCCGCATAAATTCCAATGTACTGCCGTTGTTAGCCTGCAACTATGCACAACAGTTACATCTCTGTTTTTTGCGTTCAAAATCTCACAGAAGCAAACGCTGACTTCACCCTCACACATTCATTCTGTCTTTCTTTTTGCTCAGTTTATATTCTACGATGGAGCTTATTCGCTCTTAGCTTTACCTAGCAAATTTATATATAGGGAAATCTCCAATGACGGCGGGTTTTTAATAAAGCAATTTCCACTCGCATAGGCTCATTGTTTTTCTTTTATCCACAGTTTCAGACTTTTTTTACTTCGCTTTTTTTCACTGCATTTATTTATAGACAAAGGTTTGCTTTCATTTACTTTTCTTTGTAGTGCTGTGTTGTCTTTTTCTCTTTATTGCTATCTCCAGTTCTTGCCTCGAACTTGTTTCCCTTCTTTATTCTGTCCTCAAATTCTGTGCCCCAAAGCAATATCTGGGCTCCTCTCCATCCCCAATATAAGAGCACTGTGCAAGTAATAAGTAGTCTTTCAGTGCTGTTAAAACGCTGCCCCCTCAAGCTTATCGTAAACTGAGGGATACGATAGATCGCGACCAATTTTCCAATATTCTGCACCCGCCCTTGCTGGCGCGCAGGATTGACCTCTTCGTGGGCCCGCCCACTTGTTTTAGACGAATGGCTTGTTCTTTGGGACGGGCGTGGTCAGTTGATGTCCGTCAGTGAGCGTGTGTTTGTGTATATATATGTGTGTATATATACATATGTGTGTTATATATATATGTGTGTGTGTGTCCACTGGACATCCCACTCGTCTGTCCATTTAATCGATTGACCATCTCCTCGTGGCCACCTGCTCCTGCTTCGTTCGTTCGTTCGTTCATTCGTCCCCTATTCGACTTGACCTTTGGCTGCGCTCCAGCTGACCTATGAAGCCTTTTTCACTTTTCACTCTACGATGCATTCATCCTTCGTAGCGCTTTCGTTTGTGTCTCGGGATTATCATAATTTTCTCCGTAGTAGCAGCAGTAACAGTATGTTTGAAAGTGATGGTCAGTGAATGCACGGCTGTGCTGGTGTGACCAGCAAATTACATTCGCGAAAATGAAAACGATCATTCGGAGAACCTTGAAAAACGCACATGGCGCATAATGACGGCCGCAGTCCTGGGGTCGTGCCAGCTGGACACAGGTTAGCCTGGCAAGCGGGCTGACTGGTATACGGGGGAATCTTCCCACGATTCCGGGTAATCAAATCTTGCTGGTACAGTTCTTAGAAAAACCCACTTAGCGATACCATAGTCCTCCGTACTGATGTCGATGCTAATGTGGAGCACATTCGAAATATGGCATCAGCGAAATGCTTGAGCAAGTGTGCTAGGCTTGCTGGACGCTACTGAAACAAACATAGAAGGAGCATTCGACATTCTTCCACTAAAACCCTTTGAAACGTACTCATATTTTTTAGGTCAAATTTTTTGTCGTTGTTACTGCCACTTCCACTGTTGTCATCATTATCATAAGTTACTGCTATTGTCATTCAATGTTAGCACAGTTATTATTGCTGTTATTATTATTGCTATTATTATTGTTATCATAACAGTTGTAACAACAACAATAATAATAATAATAATAATAATAATAATAATAATAATAATAATAATAAT